CTTCTAGCCCAACATCCTCCAGAAATGACCCCACCCATTTGCCCTTTACCAGCCATAGCTTACAAATATCACTGTGGTAGTTTGAGTAAGAATGGAGGAGAGGCAGAGACATACTTGAGTGAGTTCCAGGACAGCCTGGTCTACATTATCAAATTTGTGGAGAAAAGAGAAAGATGTCTGGCAGGAGATGGGGAAAGGAGGAGGGGCATGTTAGTGTCTAATGTAGACAGAATTTCAGTTTTTGCAAGATGATAAAGTTATTAAGACTGATGAGTGACAGCCTGGGGCACTTGACACTCTGTCTTAAAAGAAAAGAAAATATTTTCAAGAGTTTTTCTATTGTGCCAAACAAATGCTCAGGTTTATGTACCGTCGTCATCAGGGGGAGAGCCATGCTTGAAAGCTCCCAGCACTAGGCCTGCACCTTCTCTCATTCTGTCCCAACCTCTTCCTCGTGCCCACTACTGAACTGAACATTCATAGGGGAAAGGAAGTTGACGTGTCCAGCATCGCTTTAAAATAGAATATGTCCACTACTGGACAAAGAGAGACCGAAGAAATATATAACTGGGAACAAACGGACCATCCCCCCCCCCCCCCCCCCCCCCCCCGCCGTGGGGCTCTCCTAAAGTCGGTACCTGTCCCGTGGGTATGTCGGACTTCCAGGAAGAGTGCTCACTAGGTGGCGCCCGTCCTCCACTGTTCTGCCTGTACTCTGGTTTCTTTTTCACACGTGCTGGAAAGCTAAGCTCCAAGGGAAAGTGTTTTCCGTGGGGTCATTTCTTTGCATTTCAGACTTGAGAACACCATTTTCTCTCTGAGCCCAGTGGTTTTCTACCACCTGGCTGTCGTTTCGTAGTAATCATAGTTCGTTAATTATTTAAAAAAGTAATAAAAGCAGTTCTCTCTTTACTAGGTTTGGTTTCAAGTCACAGGCCTGAGAGCGCTCGCGGCGTTGTCAAATGTACAAAACAGAAGACATTATTAGGTTTGCGTGCTTTCTTTGATTTTTCCCAGGTTCAGAGAAGATATATATATATATATATATATTTAGAAAGAATAATTAATCAGAAACAAGTAAGGAAAAGGAGGATAAACACGAAGGTTAATGAGAAGAACAAGCTAGGGTGGGAAATCGGTTTGACTGGTATTACAGACAGATTTGAATGCTGATTTAGCCACCCACCACCGGCCTTGAAACTGCTGTCTGTGTAAAGCAGGAATGATTTTCCTCTCATCACACCTCCGGGGGTATGCTGGCTTGACCCCTGCCCTACTGTGGCTACTTGGAGGACCCCCGGGGTGTCTGCAGCTGAGGACCGTCATTCCCCGAAGCGTCCATTCACCGCCAGCAAACGCATCATCTTCTTCGCTCCCCCCAGCGGAAAACCTTGACTTAAAGGAATGAAGACAGCAAGTGTCTTCACTCTGTCCAGGTCACAGCGCCGAATGTGGGTCCAGTGGTCTGCAGGGGTAGGGCCGAGCTCCGCCTGTGCCCGGCACCCCCACACTTCGGACAGAGAAGGCAACTCCGCTCTCCAGGTCAAGAGAGGTACAGTTGACACCCAAGCGTTGCAGCGTGACCTTTGGGGAAGATGGCCTCTCCAGCTTGAGAACCCCAGAAGTGCGTGCCTGTGCGCAGAAGCTTGCCAGGAAGGACCTGAAGCTGTAGGTTCTCCCCTCCCAGCCCCCGTAGGTTTCTCATCTCCACTGGGTCGTCCCTCTCCGACAATCAGCACACCAGGCCCAGGCTACCGACGAGCCCCCACTCCCGCACGTAGGGGGCGCGAGGGAACCACTCTGCAGAAGAGGTACTGGACTCCCGCGGAGATCCTGGAGAGAAGGCGGCTGAAGGAAGAACAGATGGAGAGGGAGGAGACGGAGGGTGCATCTGTGAAAGTGTGGAACCTGGGGGCGAGGAGGGGGCGCGGCGACGGAGACAGGCGCAGGATGCAGGCAGATCTTGTCACACAAATAACGGCCCCCAACCCTTCCGGCCAGGCCGGGGAGCAACGCCAGCGACAGGCCAGGAGCCACAGCCGCGGGCAACCACGGGAGCTTTCGAAGCTAGCTAGCTTCTTGTCCTGGAGGCAATCACCCTCGTTGTCCCGGAAGGGGGGCCCCGGTGTGCCTGCGCTAGCGTGCGTGTCTCCAGACCTCCTCTCCCTGCCGGCCCTGACCTCTTGAGCTGGCCTTGCCTTGCAATGTTCTCAAGGTACTTCAGTGCAAACGGCCGTAGTCCCCAAAGCCTTTTCACCCTTTTCCCGACTCTTACTCTTTTTAGGGTCTTCCTCTGTTCATAGCCGGGTGTTTATCTCCTTCCACACCCGCTCCTCCTCCTGGCCTTCCCCCTAGCTGTCACTCACTAGACCTTCCGATCTGCTAACCTCTGCCTAAGTCCATCGCTCGGTGCCTCCTGGAGACGTGGATTGAAACCACTTCACCATTTCGTTATTCTCCTAGGGGAAAGAAAAAACAAAACAGTCAACGCTGAAAACTTCTAAAAATCACCAAACCACGGCTTTCCATGCTTCCAAAACGTCTGCCACCTACCTCTGTGGCCATTTGTGGTTTGAGATTCTTAAAAACAAAACAAAACAAAAAACAAAACGGTTATTTCTGTAATCTAAATAGTGATCATTACTTCAAATAAGTATATAGACCCCCAAATTTAACTCTATAGCTCAGTCATTCAACCCGTAGATATTCTCGCCCGTCAGTAAGTCCGGAACTCACTGGTTCCTGTCCCCAGGGAGTCCTACGTCCACAGGCCAGCACACACATAGTCTACTCCTGACTAACCTCATTTCTCTGACAACCTAAGCTCCTTGTCCTCCGCTGGTCCCTAAAGAAAACTAGCTCTATACATTCTCAACACCCCAGCGTGGAGTGGAGAGAAAAGGAAATCGATTTCCAATAAAGCCCGAACACTCTGAAGGAGTGGGAAGCTTCATTCTGAAGCCCCATAAACATTGTGTTGGGTCCCTTTGGCCGTTACACTTGCCAGATACTAACAACAAAAAAAAAATTTTCCCCTCAAAACTTACACAATTGTGAAGGGCTATAAAGAGCTGTACCCTCTTCAGGAGAGCACCACCCCTCGGCCCCGAGGTGCCCTGCCCCACCTTCACAGCGCAGGGAAGTAGGCAACTGCATCCCTGAAGTCTACAAGCTTCTGGTCTTCCTCCCCAGAGGCGCGGACGACGTTGACGAGCCAACGATTTCTCCCCCACAGTGCGGAACCAAACCGAAGCAGCAGCCCTGGGAGGCATCCCCTCTTTTAATGACACCAGAGAAGCGACACCCTCAGCTCACTAAATCACAATCACAATTATTTAAATGTGTTCAGTGGTTCGGATTTCTATTTTGGATGTTGTTAAGCCTCTGGTAAAGTCTGTGGAACAATGAGATATGCCACTTGAAGAAACGTTTCATTTAAAAAATTGTGAAAATAGGCAACGTGTTTTGACATGAGTGCAATATTTGTATTCTGTATTGACTTCCTTCTAGTGAGTAAAACAAAGTGCTTCTTATTTTTTAAGAGCGTTAAATATTATCAGTTCTGGATCTCTGTATTGTGTAGGTCCCAGATAGACGCTTTGCAACTTAATCTATTTACTCAACTCACAAGAAACAGAACATTTAAAGAACAAATTAAATGCTTTTGTTTTTGTTTTTTCTTCCTGATATAAAACGTCAAACAAATGTAATTAAATTCTGCGTTGGCTGTCCAGGGAGAACAGCCAGCTCCAAAAACTCTTCTCAGGTGCCTTCCAATTCCTTACCTCGCTTGTAGCTTAATTACTATTTTTCAACCTAACTTTTAAATTCATCTACAGATATCCAGCCTAATCAAGTGTAAAGGAAGGAAAATATTTAGTAGAGTGATTTTAATTATCAGATCATTTCGGTAAAGAGCGTGAGCGTAGAAACAGCTACGGAACTTTCGGAGTGGGCAGAGAAGACGATTAATCTTGTTCCCGGACTCTAGGCTCCTTCCTAGGGAGCAGAAACTGCACGCCACATTTGGAGACACTTTCCGTTGAGTTTTCGCCCAAGATCTAGCCTGGGATTCTTACTGGTGTCCCACAAAAGCGCTGGAGTACGTTACTCGGTGAGGTTTCGGGTTGGGTGTCTCTCCTTACGGCCGAAGGATGCTCCGAGAACCAGCCTTAGGAAAGAAGGGGTTAATTCAGACCATGCCTAGAGCTACTCAACTTGGGTAGTTGTCTCTCAAAGTCAACGGCCCCCGGTTGGAGGCAGCCAATCCACTGCGGGGAGAGCCCAGGACAGCCAGGGAAGGGGCGTGGACTGACGCTGTCACTCAGCGGCGGGGAACGACACTCCGACCGGAGGGGGTTCACAGCGGAGCGCAGAGGAAGGGAAGAGAAGAAACAGCGAAAACCCAGGCGGAGCGTAAAAAGGTGTCCCGCTCTTCTCCGGTTCTCGGGGTCTCAGCTGTCACCGCGGGCTCCGAGGGGGGTAGGCTCCGGAAGAGCCAGCCCGGAGGGGAAGAGGGAGGACCTGCCCTGCCGGGAGCGAAGCCCTGCAGGCGGGGAACACAGAGGCGCACAGAAAAAGGGACTCGGCCGGCCGCGCGCCCCGCGGCGCTCCGGAGGCGACGGCGAGCGCCGGGAGGACCCTGGACTGCTCTGGCCGGCCCTCCTCGAAGGCACAGACCCCGGGCGGCCCCGGACGGCCAAGGGCGAAGAGCCAAAGGGCCCGTCTGCGAGAGGACAGATTCTGGAGCTAGATTCCGGAGGGGGAGAGGGGGATCCTGGAGAGGAGGGCCCGTGAGGCTGGGGTGAGGGTCGGCGCGGATTCGGGGACTGAGTGTGGGGGGGCGGGGGCTGCCGAGCTGCGCCGGAGCGGGCTGCGGGGGCCTGGCGTACCCCTCTCGCTCGCGCTGCGCTCGCCCGGAGCTCCCCGCCGGCCGGGGCTCGAAGCTGCCCCCGCGACCCAGCTGCCCAGCCGGCCGCCGGCTCCGATCCGCGGGGTAGATGGCTGTGCGCAGCGCCAGCGCCTTGACGCCCTTCTCCATCCAGGCGATCCTCAACAAGAAGGAGGAGCGCGGCGGGCTGCCTGCGCCCGAGGGGCGCCGGGCACCGGGGGGCACAGAAGCGGCGGTGGCCGCGGCGCCCGCCGTCTGCTGCTGGCGGCTCTTCGGGGAGCCCGACGCGGGCGCTCTGGGAGCCGCCGAGGACTCTCTGCTGGCGTCTCCCGCCCTGCCCAGAACGGTGGTGGGGCAGACCGCGGAGGGCGCCGGAGGCTGGGACTCGGACTCAGCGCTGAGCGAGGAGAACGAGGGCAGGAGGCGCTGCGCCGACGTTCCGGGGGCCAGCGGAACCGGCCGCTCCAGGATGACCCTGGGCCTGGACCCGCCGATCTGCCAGATGCACGCCGCCAAGGACTTGGAGGAGGAAGCCCCGGTGCGCAGCGACAGCGAGATGTCAGCCAGCGTCTCAGGTCTGCGGCGGCGGGGTTTCTTAGGGAAAGGGGGCTGGGCTGAGAGGAGACGTTTAAGAGGTCAAGCACTCCGAGGCTGGGTGGGCCTCCTGTGGGAACGGGGTGCCCCTGCCCGGCTTAGTTAGGGTCAAGCTCTGCACGTTGGCGCGTCCTGCCCCAAGCCTTAAGTCAAAGGAGCTTCTTAGAATCGGGCACCCTCCTGCCATGTGTCCTGCACCCTGCGCCAAAAGCTTTGAGTTCATCTGCACTGCCTTGGCTGTGTTCTTTTGAAATCTCCAAGCTTAGGAAAGGGGGACCAGAGGCCTGTAAGATAGATCACACAGCTTTCTCCTGATCCAGTCCTGCTAAGAGCTACAGGCCGTGTCACCGCGAGGGAGTAGGGAGGCTTAGGAAAGGGATTGCTTAAATCCCCTTTTACCTTAGGGCTGACAGAGCAGCCTTTGGCTGGAAACCTAGGAGCTAGAAACAAAACTAGCAGTTACCTGAAGGAGGAAGATGGTGGGGAAGTGTGGTCCAGGTCATCCGGGAGGCACTCAAGAGTCAAGCCTCTTAACCCACTCGCGGGCGTATTTCTTGGTCTGAAAGCCCATCAGCTGGCTTCTAGTGGGTACACCCTGCTGTAGGCCTCGCAGAGGCTCAAAGCAGGCCAGAGCAGTGACCTCTCCGCTGGAGTGTTGCAAGGGAGCCCAGAAGAGGCTGGGGAAGGGTGTTCAAACCTTTACCCCCACCCCGGGCATCCCTTTATTTTCTTGCAAAGAAGAGGGAGGCAAGAGTACCCCCGGCCTTGCTGCTGCCTGTTGTTGCCATATTCCTGACGGCAGTTCTGGACTCTTGGGATGGAAGACTCCACATACCTCTGACCTCAAGATCTGCGCTCCCCCCCCCACTTCCTCTTTCATGTAGCCAACGGTTGAGTATGTGTGAGTGTGCAGAGGTGCATGGCCTGGAGCTGAGAAACAGAAATGCAATGTAGAAAGCCAGGACTTAGGGCTGAGAACCAAAAACAAAGTTTGTGGATATGCACAGCCATTACTGCAGGGAATCTGGGGTCCGGAAATGCTCCCCTACCGCTTTGTCGCGCACCAAAAGAGATACTGGTTTGGGAAGCCGTGGGGACAGAGTTCTGACCCAGAACCGGGTGGAGCCTCACCTCCCCTTTCGGTAGGCTCAAAGCGGGTTTCCCTTCCCAGTCTTCCCCAGACACCACGGCAATCGAGACCCATCTTCACCTCCGCCAGGCTGACAGGTTCTTGCTTTTTGTCCCTACCGGAATTCCGCAGGCGACCACAGCCCACGAGCCGAGGAAGAACGCGGTAGTCCCGGGGGCGCGCACGTGCCCGGGCTGTGCGGCGCGGCGGGCGGCGGGGCCGGCGGCGGGCAGGCGGGCGGCTTGGAGGAGGACGAGGAGCCCGCAGCCCCCAAGCCGCGGAAGAAGCGCTCCCGGGCCGCCTTCTCGCACGCCCAGGTCTTCGAGCTGGAGCGTCGTTTTAACCACCAGCGCTACCTGTCCGGGCCCGAGCGAGCCGACCTGGCAGCGTCGCTCAAGCTCACCGAGACGCAGGTGAAGATCTGGTTTCAGAACCGCCGCTACAAAACCAAACGCCGGCAGATGGCCGCCGACCTGCTCGCCTCGGCGCCCGCCGCCAAGAAGGTGGCCGTGAAGGTGCTGGTGCGTGACGACCAGAGACAGTACCTGCCGGGGGAGGTGCTGAGGCCACCTTCTCTCCTGCCGCTGCAGCCCTCCTACTACTACCCGTACTACTGCCTCCCCGGCTGGGCGCTGTCCACGTGCGCGGCCGCCGCGGGGACTCAGTGACCCGCTCCGGGCCAGGCGGCCAGCGCCCCCTGCACCGCCGCGCACGGCTGCAGAGCCCGGCTCTGCCCAGCTGGGGAGCGGAGCAGGTGGAGAACGGAATCCCGCGGGGACTCCCCCATCCGGGGGAACGGGGCGGCGGGACCGAGCCTGCCCCGAGAGGGCGCCTTATCCTGATTTGAACAGACGAGCCCCGTGACCCCGGGCGCTCTGCACGCCCGCCACCTCTCTGCCTTGCAAGCCTCGGGACGCTGTTTCTTCCCGCAGCGACGACGTCGGGATTGGATTCTGTCTGCCTGGGGGATGGTGTTCGCCCAGAGCCGGGAGGACTCCTGGAGGCCCTGGAGCCTGAATCCTCAGAATCTCGGGTCGGCCGGGCGCGTCCGGCGCTGGGTCACACTAGTTCATGGTATCCATGCTACCGATCTGTATCTGCGTATCTTTAATGTTTGGAAATTACGTATGTGACAAAGGAGTGCAGACCCCTTTCAGTTCCAGGTCAGGAGTTGAAATGAACCTCCAAGGGTTTGATTTTTGGTGACCTCCCACTCCAGCCCTCGCGGGGCACGCTCCTGGATGCTGAATGTAAGAATGGGAGCCTTTCAGTGAAGTGCAGACCAGGGATTCCCTACACTTTCCCTTTCTACAAATTCAGGGCCACACCCAAAGGGAAAGTGCCTGGGAGACTCGTAAAGAGGGCCCGTCATCGTCAAAGCCCCCTTTCAAAAACCTGTCTTTGTTTCTTTCTTTTTTTTTTTTTTTTTTTTTTTTTCAAGAAGGTTGAGACTTGTAGCACTTTTCGGTTGTTTGTATTCAAATAACGATATTTTCGTACTCAATGTGAATATCCCTGGCCTGCATTTCCGCATCTTCCTCCGCCTTCTCCTGTCCCTCTGTGGTTTCAAGCCCCACACCCTCTGTGCCTCGCTTGTTTCTGAGACTGTCTCCTCAGCCTCGCAGCTTTTTGCCTCTTTAAGGGCACCGTGCACTCAACTAGAGTTATCTTTAAAAGATTTGTGAATTTTGGAAGCTCTACTCGCTGTAATGTTTTTTTTCCTTTAATTTATAAACTTTTAGTTCAATATGCCCTCCGAGGCTTTGTTTTGTTTTGGTTTCGGTGCTGCTGTGGGACAAGGAGTTGGAGGCGGGTTGGAGTCATCGGTGGATCATTCTCCATATTACTTTCTTTTTTGTCTAGGATAGAATGCTCGCTGTGGTACCGTCCCCTCTCCCTCAGCCATGCTAGCCATCCTCTGCCAAGGCTTAAAGCCCCGGGAGTCATGACTGCAAGGGCGCGGAAGAACCTCGCTCGCTGAATCTCAAGCAAACGCCTGAGATTCCTTGTTTTCTACTACCCTAGGGTCTCAAATCTTAGAAGCGTCTGGGTTGATTGAACCCACAGGCAACTTCCTTCTAACTCTCCAAACCTGCAGATCATTCTCTGTCTTCCCACTTCCTCTCCGCTTCCCTTTCTTTTTCCAGTGTTTCTCAAAGAAGGAGCTTGAAAAGTAAAAGCTGTCGCTGAAATTCCAATTCTCTTTAAGGAGAGTCTGGTGCCAACCGTGTTCCTTCAGGAGAGGCTCTCCTGCTCCTCTCACTCCTACAGGTGCGAATCTTCTTCTACCTGAAATGTTCTCAAGTGCCTCTGCTCCCTGGTGACCTGTTGTCATTTGATCTGTACAGAAGCCCAGGGCCAGGAGAGGGTGAGATGGGTCGCTTGCAGACGAACTTGTCCGGGCTAAACAAGACTTTCCCAAATACCACGGTCTTCCCGAGTTAAATGCTTGTCTTCGTTGGCTGCTGGCTAACAAGGACAAGTGAACGTGACAGCGCCACATCCCCAACTCCCCGGCCGGGAACAGCCGAAACCAAAGCCGGGTTTGCTCTACTCCCATCCCTGGTAACCTCTCTCAGCCCTTGCGGCACTAGAGGCCCAGGGAAGGCAAGCTCCAACTGCCTGGGCCGGCCTAGGCCGAGCGAAGCCACCAGGGTCAGTGTGAGTGTGGTCAGTGTGAGTCCAGCTTCCGCAAACAGCGAAAGAGCTGAGGTACCTGCCCCACGTACCAGGTGTTTGCTTCCCACGATCGTTTCATTTCCTTTTTAAGAAACATTTTAAAACTCAGTGTTCGGTTTATAATTTACCACGATGCATTCTCCCCGAAGATTGAGACTTCTCCGGTGTTGCTGGCATCTTCGCTTCCTTCGCCCAAAGACTGTTACAAGTCAGGTTGTTCGTGAAAGGGGAGGTAGACGTCAGCTCTGTCCTACCGGGAGTGACTTAGCCCTGCGGTTACTGTTTAAACCCCAGGGGGTTCAGAAAGAGAGCTAGAGGTCCTTAAGGGAAGGAAAACTGGTAGACGTCCGAGGTCACCCTTGCAGCAGCTTCCTCTTCCGGCAGACCTCATTTTCAGCGAGTAGGAGGTGTCCTTTTCTGTCTCTCCCATTGCGGGCCTCAGCCAGAGAGAGCTGCTGGCTGGCTGTCTAAAGCTGTCCAAGGAAAAATTACCAGAATGTGTTCGATTTGGTCAGTATTGTGGCAGCTAGCCGCCTGTGGGTGGTAAGATTACCAGGGCTGTAACGTAACCTTTGGATCTAGCTCAGTCTACCCGGATTCCACACCTCAAGATAGCACTCTGAACTCATGAACTCCTGTTGGGAATACACAATATTACCACATTCACTCATCTGATTTTTCTATAATCCACCCTTTTCTTTTTCTTTCTTTCTTTTTTTTCTTTTCTTTCTTCTTCTTCTTCTTCTTCTTCTTCTTCTTCTTCTTCTTCTTCTTCTTCTTCTTCTTCTTCTTCTTCTTCTGTAAAATTAAATACCGGCTACTTGCCTACACACACACACACACACACACACACACACACACACACACACCTTGATCCGTGATCAAGAGTCTTGGTTTATATACTTTCCCTTGCTTTGTTTTGCTTTGCTGCCTGAACCCTCTTTCCCAGATTGGTCGCAAGTACCGCATGAGTCTAGGTTTTTTGTTGTTTGTTTGTTTTTGTTTTTGTTTGGGTTTGGGTTTTGTTTGTTTATTTTTTCACTTCATCCTTGAGTACATTTGGCTCTTAGTTAACCTGAAGCTGAGCTTCTGGGTATTAGATTCTGACTCACTTTACCCCTTACACATGATTAAACCAAAGAGAAGGAAACGAGGTTAGGAATGGGTTTGGAATGTGCTCTGACCTACTCTGAAATCAGTCTGGCCAGCAATACCCTTTTGCCGTGTGTGTGTGTGTGTGTGTGTGTGTGTGTGTGTGTGTGTGTTAAAAATCATCACTTATCTCAAGGTATGACCCACCCCAAGAGCTTAGGTTTGTGGGGCTCTCAAGTCTCTGTAGAATATCTTGGCCGAATTTTGGTAGAGCTCCGGGAAGTTGAGGTTTGGTTCCATTTTCAAAAGATCAGTGGCTTTCTGCAGTGACCACTCCTTCATGCAGCTCCCCAACACCGAGAAAGTGGGCAGATGATGGTGAGTATGACTTCTTGGGAGACAGTTCAAGATGATCTCAAACACAGTCTCCTCGTGCCTCTGAATGGCAGCCAGCAATGTCAGCACCTAGAATTAGAATAAATGTTGGAGACAGGGCTGACAGGAGAGGGTCATCTGGGGGCTTCTGAGGAGTGGGGCATGCCTCATAGTCTTGCTCACAGGAACTGTCCAGATTCTTTCTCTTGGAGTGGGAGGATTTATGAATACCTTCCTCAAGCTGCTTGTTAGAGAAAGTCCAAGCACCCCAGAGACAAACCTCAGCCCAGGCCATGGCACCGCTGGTCTAACTTTCTATCCAGCCATTGGCAGAGCTCAGAGTTCTGCCGAATCCATGCTGGCAGTACACTGTCCTCAACTGAAGTTTCTGTCTGTGCCTCAGAGAGAAATGTGGAACCTGGCAACTACCTGCAAGGTCTGCTGAATTCAACTTGCTTGCTCAAGGGTACCTGCCTTGTCTGTGGGAACAACTGCGTGAGTCTAAGGGGAGGGGAGAGTCAGAGCGCATCTCCGTCAACCTGAAAACTGGCAGAGAAGCCCGAGCCACAAAGAAGCACAAGGATTATTCCCACCAGCAGGGACCTTAAAAGAAAGTAGAGGAGACCTATTTGAGGACCCACCTACTACCAGGGGCCCTATGAATTTATCCAGGGCAAACACTCACCTTGCCAACTTTCCTAACCAGGAATGGCACTGAGCTGCATGGGCATCGAAAGAATTAGCAAACACTCTAAAGCAGAGTACCCAGAGTATAAACCACTGCTTCCCAAGGAAGCAGCATCAGAGGTTCCAAAAATCTGAGGCCAGCCAAGATGACAACTGAAACAATATTCAACAGTAACAGTGCTGATAACAATAACAAAGGCAATTAAAAATACTCTTTTAAGAGCTTTCTTTCTCTGCAACCTCCCCGAGAGCGTTGCAGAGAAAGAAAGCCCTTCCAACCCCTTCTCCTGGGGTTGACAGGCTCTGCCTGTGGGCTAGTGGGCAGACCTCTGTCTGATGAGGCGGGGCTGACGGCGCTGAGGAAGAAAGGTGTGTTTCCCACCGCCATCACAGGCTAGTGAGAAGTGGACTGCCAGCCTTTCAACCTCCAGAGGTTGCAGAAAGGGTTATCTTGGGGTGAGAGCTGCACTTTCCAGGGTGGACCCCAAGGGTTGGCAGCGAATCATAAAACGTACTTTAAAAACCATTAAGGAGTGAACAACTGGTATTATTACTTCTGTGTTGCTGACATTCTTATTGACTCCAGGTAATCCAGCTTGATTTTCTGCAGCCTCAGGGGAGCCCAAGCATCCTGCGGCCTACGGAGCTTGGGGATCGACTTGTTAGAAATTTTTAAAAACTCTGACCCATGAAGGGGGTGGGAGGAGGCCAAAGCAGAGAAAGGGGGGGGGGAGATCGTTTTATTACAAACGGTTACATCATCCAATAAATTATTTTTCTCCTGCTGATCACACAGGGGGGTTGTTAAAAATACATTTATAAGATATTGATTCTT